CCCCAGGCATCTGCCCTGGCAGCTCAGGGGGATGCTGGAGGGGCTTAGTGGTGCGTGTGAGTTTTGACACCATTTGGCCTTTTTGCCATTCCCACCCCCACTCCCGGGAGGCTTTGTTTTAAGGAGATGCATCTTTTTCAGGTGTTAATCTGAGAAGCTGTGGCTGCCCCATCCCTGGAAGAGTTCAAGGCCAGGTTGGATGGGGCTTTGAGCAACCTGGTGTAGTGGAGGATGCTGGAGGGGCTTAGTGGTGCGTGTGAGTTTTGACACCATTTGGCCTTTTTGCCATTCCCACCCCCACTCCCGGGAGGCTTTGTTTTAAGGAGATGCATCTTTTTCAGGTGTTAATCTGAGAAGCTGTGGCTGCCCCATCCCTGGAAGAGTTCAAGGCCAGGTTGGATGGGGCTTTGAGCAACCTGGTGTAGTGGAGGGTGTCCCTGCCCATGGCAGGGGGGTTGGAACTAGATGAGCTTGAAGGTCCTTTCCAACCCAAACCATTCCATGATTGTATGAAATCAGGACAAAGGATGAGGCTGGGCATCACGGCGTGTCCCAGCCTGCCCACCGCAGCTCAGCCCCTGTGTGCCAGAGAGTAACAGCCCCCTCGGCCCAGCCCCCACCTGCATTTGAACTGAGAAGCTGTGACTTACCACGGGGCCGGGAGGGCCTGGGGGACCCACTGAGCCACCTTCTCCCTGGAGCAGGAGAGAAGGGATGCTATTTTCCTAGTCTGCTTTGCTTTAATTCTCTCCTTTTAGCCTTCCCATCCCCAATTTCTTGGCATCAGCTACCTGAGGTCCCTTGGGATGGTCATCTGGCCAGCCCCTGGCTTCCCAACTCCATACTGGAAGGTGTTTCCATCTACCACCACCACCAAACTGCTTCAATTTTCCTTTTAAATCCTCTGCCAACCCTTCCCTGGCTGAGATGCCCCCAAAGCTGTGGCAGCAGTTCAGTTATCCACATGCTGAGAGCAGCACAGAAAAACCCAGGTGCCATCAGCCCAGGATTCATCTCAGCTGAAGGTGGTCACCCAATATAAACCACCACGCAAGGTGGTCTGCAAAGGCTCATTTCTCCTCCTTGCCAGCCAGGAGAACAAGCTGGGATGCAAATATCCATGCAGGAGATGTTGGGAGCGAGGGGAGGCTCCTGCCCCCAACATGCAGAGGGACAAGATGCCTGGCTGCTCTGGGGCAATGTCCCCATTAATGAGAGCCACCTCCAGGACAGAGATATGGATGTAGTTTAGGTCCAGCTTTCAGGAAAAGGTAAAATAAATTACGGATGTCATAAGAGCAAACCATAAAGTGGTGCCAGCGACTGCAAAGCCCAAGTCCTCCCTCCATGGACCCACCTTTCCAGTGGGGAGCTCCTGCACCACTTTGGGGAGGGCTAGTGGCACAGAGAAAGCAAAATCACTCACCTCCGGCCCCACAGGGCCCTGGAAGCCCATCACACCCTTCGGACCCAACAGCCCCTGGGAGAGAAGCCAGGAGTGGGGTGTCAGTGAGGTGCCCACCCCGAGGTGCCCGCCACCTTTGTCCCATCCCTTGCAGGAGGGTCAGTAAAAACAGAGACTCCCCTCTCAAAGTCTTTGCCCAAAGTCAGGAGAAAGTGGGCTGGGGCCAGGGCTGGAGCTGGGACCACCGCCGAGAAGCAAAACGGTTGGCCCAGGGAAGGGGATGGAGGGAAGGAGCAATCATGAGCTCTGTTAACTCACGTGAAGCCCAGCAGGACCTGGCAGGCCATTTTCTCCCTTCACCCCCTGGAAAAGCCAAGAGCAGCCTGAGTGATGGAGCACAGCGTGACCTGGGGCTGGGGGCCATCGTGGGGATGGAGCAACCCCCACCTGCCCGAGGCAAGGCTGTGAAATGCACGGACAGACCCCCTCACCTTCGCTCCCTTTGCTCCTTTCTCCCCAGCCGGGCCAGGGTCACCCAAGAACCCCTGAAACGGGAACAAGAGGGAACAAGAAGGAACAAGAAGGAGGAGCCAGAACGCGGCTGTGGTGCACCAAAGGGCCGTCAGTGCAGGGGGATGGGGACCCTCACCCCTGTGCCAAATGGGGCAGCCCCAGCAGAAAAGCCCAGCTGCTCATCCCCGGCACAGTGCCACTCCACTGTGGCTACTCCACTCCCGTGTCCTGAGCTCGGATCCTTGAGATCACACTATGTCACACGCAATGGTGACATCGAGGTGTCCCAGCACCTGCAGGGCTGGGGGACGGGGCTCTCCACGGCAGTGCTGCAGTGGATGGCAGAGCTGTGGCCATTGCCAGTGCCGTGGAGGACACCGCGGTGCCCGGAGCTGCACACAGCAGCAGTGGGGATGGAAAAGAAAAGGTTTATGGGCTCATGTGAGCTGTGCAAAGCTCCGTGTGTCCGCAGCTGCTCAGGGCTCAAGCGCAGAGAGGCAGGAGAGTCTCCATCTGGATGCTGGGATGATGCTTATAGGTGAGAGGGTACGAAGTATGGGGCAGAAAAGATGGCAGGATAAACCACATGGGATTGCTGTCTCAGAAAGAAGAAATCCAGTTCCAAACACCGCAGTCTGGTCAGACCAGAGGAGCTCAGTGCCAAAAGCTCTTGGGCAGCTCTAAACATTTCGGCTTAAAAAGACTGGGGGGAAAAAAAGCGAATGTGCCAGAAACCACAAGTATTTGCTTTTTTATGGACATTTTATATCCTGGCTGACAAAGCCGTGCCCGCAGCCTGGCGAGGAACTGCCAGCCCTGAGCCGGGATCCTGCATGGCTGAAGGGTGGCAACAGGGCACCTCATGCCATGACGCAACATCAGGCTGGCACCAGTGAAACCAGTAATGAACACCTCGTACTGCTTGGCATTAAGCGTACGTGCAGGGGCTGGCGTTGGCACTGAATGGTGCCCGCGGCAAAGCGGAGCCAGCTTACCTCTTCTCCCTTCTCGCCAGCTGGTCCCCGGTCACCTCGGAAGCCCTGCAGTCCCTGGGAGGGAGGAAGGAGCAGAGCAGGTGCTGAGGGGCTGCCCAGCACCTCCCACCCATGCCCAGCTCCAGCCCTGCTCCCACCATCCCGGCAGCTCCTGCCTCCTGCCCACAGCTGCCCAGGGGGCTGCTGAGAGCCCCAAACCTCTCAGCATGGTCCAGTCCTTGTCACCATCCTCCAAAAGTCCCCTGAGAACCCTCCCCTGTTCCCCAGGGATTGCTGCCAAGGCTCTGGAAAAGGGCAGGGACCATCACGCCTCCAAGTGACCAGCTTCATAGCCTGAACACTACCCAGGCAGTCCATAATCCCTCTCATTTCTTCCTCCGGAAAAAGCAAGCAGGAGGTTCCGATGGTGACGAGCACCCAGCCCTCGCGCTCCAAACCGCCACGGTGCAGGATCTGCAGCGCTCGGGCTGTCCCAGCTGCACCCGAACACACACGGGTGATGTTTCACAGCCCTTTTTTTTCTTGGGAAACGTGAACTTTGAGGCACTAATCCCAGCCCTCCTGGGTTTGCAGCATTTTACTTAAAGGAGGCGAGCGAGCACAAAGAGCAGCAGCACTGGCAGCGCCTTGTCCCCTGCCCGGGGCTGGGGGCTGCACCCTCCCCACGCCGTGGCTGTGCCATGGCCCTGCTCACCACTCACCTGCTCTCCCGGCAGCCCCCATGGCCCAGGTTTGCCATCCAGGCCAGGGAAGCCATCTGAGCCAGGGTAACCCATACGTCCTGGCAAGCCCTGGAGCCCGGGCTCCCCCTGGGGAGAAAAAAGCCCAGCACGGGGAATTAAAAACTCCACATCGTTACGAAACCAA